AGAGAGAGAGAGAGAGAGAGAGAGAGAGAGAGAGAGAGAGAGAGAGAGAGAGAGAGAGAGAGAGAGCACTGACAGTGCTGCCAGTCTGAAGACTTTGACGTTCTGAATTGAACCGCAAAGTTTGAACTTTTAAGTTATATATGAAGTTGTGAACTTAAATTACTAAATCCAAAGTTCAAAGTTCAAAGTTAATCATACTTTTTTCAAAAAAAAATTATCTGTTTCTTTAGTCTTGTGCCTGCTTTGCACTGTTTGCAAATCTGCATGTCTGCTAGTTAAATGTGCTGGTTGATTTGCTGCAAGACACGTGCTCTGCTGCCTGAACTACAGAGTGCAAAGCAGGTAAGTGGCTGCCAACACCCCCCCCCCCCCCCCCCCACCCCCCCCGTTTTTTGTTTTTTTTTTCCCCTTTTTTAGGGTCCGGACATTTTTGCACCCTGGGGACAGGTCCGGACTGTCCGGTGTCCGGTGATGTTGGGATCACCGGACAGTCCGGACCGGTCCAGACACTGGTCCGGAAGACAGTCCGGAAGTGTCCGGTGTCCGGGTCCAGGGTTACCATGCTATATATGTATATATTATATATATTATTTCGCAAAGAATATTGGTCTGACCCTCGGGCATCATTGTTCTGCACAACATATTTTTTTTTTTGGATTTTTTGGAAACTTTGTTTTTTCAACTTTTTTGTTTTTTTTATTATATACAGGGACCTTCCCTGGTCCTTGCCCGGCCGGGGGGCCTGGTGTATAACACGGAGGGCAACGCTTGTTCTTTGCTTTTGGCTGGCGCCGCCAGCCGTTTTGGTCCGGTAGCCCCGAGCCTCCGAAAGGATTTGATTTCGATTCTCGGTAGCCCCGAGCCTCCGAAAGGCTTTGATTTCGACTCTCAAGTTTGCCTGGGCATGTATTTGCAAGAGGGACGCTGGGCCCGCTTCCCAGCGCGTGTGGCTCCCCACGAATATATCGGAGCATTGTCCCCATTTAAAAAAAAAAAAAAAAAAAAAACCTCTGCCTCCCCCCCCCCTGGGCAGTGTACTGTCGGTTTAGGTTCGTCTCCGAACTAAGTAAGAGTGGGCTTGCTCCTTACTTTGCTTTCTAATCATTTCTGAATAATCTGAACACACTTCTACTAAGTTCTAACAGTGTGGCATACTCAGTTCCACACGGGCCCAGCAGGGCCCGACCAGTGATCCTACTGCTTACTTTGGTTTGTAAATAAATTTCTAAACACTTGTACTAAGTTCGAACAGTGACTCTGCTCCTTACTTTGGTTTCTAAACATTTCTAATGACAGTAGCCTTGCTGTTTACTTCGCTTTCTAAATATTCTAAACTCATCTTCTCTGCATCCTGTTCCATTTTGAACGGATGTTCCACGGAGGACATGTATGTATTTGACAACCTTTCTTTCGCTGATCTTGTGCAGATGGTGAAGAGGTCGAAGTCCGAAAGGTTCTTGGTGGCTTCTGCGAAAGAGTGTAAAAGAAAACCATGATGGTAAGGAACGACTCTCCTCCTGTCACGATGCAAACCCTCGACCCCCTTTCTTCATTCACCCTTCTATGATTCCCTCCTTCATCATCCTTTCTGTCTGTCTGTCTGTCTCT